AATAGAGAGAAAAGCGATTGAAAATAAATTGAAAGTTGCGACCATTAGAGATTATATAAGGGCATCGGTGCTGCATGCAGCTGTCTCTTTTTTTCACAGGGGGTAGTGGGCAGAGGAGAGAGATTCGGAGTGGGTCACTGGTGGCCACACAGAAGTCCAGTGATTTATGGGAGGTCGGAGCTAAATTAGATATACTGTATACAAACATAATGCACACGTTTCAGGGACAGCATGTCCATTAATGTTTGTATATATTGTTAATGCATGAATGCACTGGCAAAAAAACAAAACTTTTCACCAAGTGCGTTCGAGGATATCTTCCACTTATATTGTGCAAAATATCAAGATTTGGACCATTTTCATGCTTGTATCATACATCAAGCCAAAGGTTGTGATAATAAAATAACATTCTATCACCATAGTTATGGTTAGGTCAAGGGTTAAGACAAAGGTTAGGGCTAAGATTAAGGCTAGGAGTTGCATTACTAGTCGGGATTATGTTATGGATGGGTTAATTGTCATTAACCTATTTTTTTGTATGAAGTTCAAATTCCAGCCTTAAACTTGGCACCTTGCCGTTGCAACAACGCTCTCTAGTGTAAAGAAAGTGTACTTAAGATTGCCGATTACAGTGCACAATGCAACGTAACACGTTCCTTCGGAGTGGGCAGGTATGAACTTGGTTGAACAGCGCAGCGTTCAGGGGGGGGCAGTTGAATGAGTGGGCCCCCCCCCCTTCCCACCCTTCCCCCCCACCCCCCCCCCCTTCTCCCCCACCCTCCCCGACATCGTCAACCAATCGTGGCGTAGCCCGGTGTTCGGTGGGGAGGGGCATGGGTGGGCAGAATTCCGGATATGCACGACAGACAGACAAATAATCCCTGGTGGGCAGTGTGGAACCTGTTGTTCCTACCTGTATAATGCCTCAAGTAGTTGTGGGTAGCAAATGAGAGTAGAGGTCTCTCAAAACGTGGCTGGGATGGTTGAAGAGGATTTAATAATTACGGTGTCAGCAGATGAAACCGACAGAGCCAAATCCATTGGCTCTAATCCAGATTTTAGCCACCCGTGATGAAAACGTGTGTTGCACTTCTTTTTCAACCCTACGTAGACAAGCGTGCACATTCTTATTTACGGCAAAGTAATCTCTTCAAAAAAACACTGCCAGGGCACTTACCTGGACTTTTACCGTAATGATCTACACACCTGTGCTAAAACTTCTGAGCTCACTGTAAAAATGAACGACTTTCTCTACAACCCTCATTGGGTCACTACCCCCCCCCCCCCCCTTTGCCCCATGAGGGTTGTGGATAAGATGCTCTCCCTGTCCCAAGACAGCACAACAGTGCTCAGCAAATCTGCACGACAGATCTCCATTTTTCCCCTTACGGATGGTAATAGGAGTGGTGTTCCAAGTGATTGTTTTACATATTTGTCATCACAGACCGCCGAGGCAGTTTCTAAACTATACATCTTTAACCAGACAAGGCCCACTGAGCTATTAGCTCTTTTTTAGAAGCGACCTGGCCACAAATAATAAGCTCAACGAAGTGGCCTATCGTGTGTAAATGTAAAGCAGCCAAATACTCGAAACGCATGTTTCTAAACGTGGAGGGAAAAACCGGAGAACCGAGAGAAAAATCCACGCAGTCACGGGGAGAACACGCAAACTCCAAATATGCAGGTGTCAGGGTCGGGATCGAACCCATGACCTCGATCATACCAGGCGAGGGAGATAACATCTCACCGCAGTGCCCCCTCAGCAACACATGGCCACCAACTCACTTATCCATCCTTGCATCACTGAATGGCTTTGCCAAGCAAAGGCTGCTTGCTATAAGCGTCCTCATGTTTGGGTGTGAGATATTGCAGACTGTTATAATGGGCCTGGCCACTTCCTCTCGTAACTTAACATCCAAATGTTTGGGTGTGAGATATTGCAGACTGTTATAATGGGCCTGGCCACTTCCACTCGTAACTTAACATCCTAATTTTTGGGTGTGAGATATTGCAGACTGTTATAATGGGCCGGCAACTTCCACTCGTAACTTAACAACCTAATTTTTGGTGTGAGATATTGCAGACTGGTATAATGAGCCTTGCCACTTCCTCCTGTAACTTAACAACCTAATTTTTGGGTGTGAGATATTGCAGACTGTTATAATGGGCCGACCACTTCCACTCGTAACTTAACATCCTAATTGTTAGGTGTGAAATATTGCAGACTGTTATAATGGGCCGGCAACTTCCATTCGTAACTTAACAACCTAATTTTTGGGTGTGAGATATTGCAGACTGTTATAATGGGCCGACCACTTCCACTCGTAACTTAACATCCTAATTGTTAGGTGTGAGATATTGCAGACTGTTATAATGGGCCGGCTACTTCCGCTCATAACTTAACAACCTAATTTTTGGGTGTGAGATATTGCAGACTGTTATAATGGGCCGACCACTTCCACTCGTAACTTAACATCCTAATTGTTGGGTGTGAGATATTGAAGACTGTTATAATGGGCCGGCTACTTCCGCTCATAACTTAACAACCTAATTGTTGGGTGTGAGATATTGCAGACTGTTATAATGGGCCGGCTACTTCCTCTCATAACTTAACAACCTAATTTTTGGGTGTGAGATATTGCAGACTGTTATAATGGGCTGGCCACTTCCTATCGTAACTTAACATCCAAATTTTTGGTGTGAGATATTGCAGACTGTTATAATGGGCCGGCTACTTCCACTCATAACTTAACATCCTAATTGTTGGGTGTGAGATATTGCAGACTGTTATAATGAGCCGGGCCACTTCCACTAATAACTTAACAACCTAATTTTTGGTGTGAGATATTGCTGACTGTTATAATGGGCCTGGTCACTTCCACCCATAACTTAACATCCTAATTTTTGGGTGTGAGATATTGCAGACTGTTATAATGTGCCGGCCACTTCCTCTCATAACTTAACAACCTAATTTTTGGGTGTGAGATATTGCAGACTGTTATAATGGGCCTGGCCACTTCCACTCGTAACTTAACATCCTAATTTTTGGGTGTGAGATATTGCAGACTGTTATAATGGGCTGGCCACTCCTCTCATAACTTAACAACCTAATTTTTGGGTGTGAGATATTGCAGACTGTTATAATGGGCCGGCTACTTCCGCTCATAACTTAACATCCTAATTTTTGGGTGTGAGATATTGCAGACTGTTATAATGGGCCGGCCACTTTCTCTCTCGTTACTTAACCGTCGTTCACGACTGAGTGCCGGTGACATCACGGCGTTTGTGCAATGCTCGGGGCACTTATGTGGCCACGTGAAGTGTCGAAGGCCCGGGTGTTACCTGTGCCCACGAGTTCTGTAGGGAATGATTGCTGTGTGTGCACGAGTTGTTGTGTGGTGAGCGATTCACGATGAAGCCCTTAGATCGCCTCGCGTGGACTATTCCCTTTCACACACACACACCATCAACACGCACACTACGAATGAACACATACCCTGGAAGGAAGTCACTGGAGCTATGCTCTTTAGAACTGCTTTTTGTGTTTAGTTTGGTGTTCTTCGCCCACACCCTCCGATTAGCACGTTTGTGTCAAAGAAGTTCAACATATATACACCCCCAACACATGAACAGACCCGCATCGATAAACACCCAATAAGACACTCTCCAAATCAACACCAAACCACCAACACTGGAGCCATAAACACTGCGAACAGACAAACCCCCATCACCACCCCGCACCCCATCACCACTCAACCATCACCACTCAACCATCACCACCCATCATCACCCCCCATCACCGCCCCTCACCCCCCAATCACCCCCCCTCACCCCACCCCGCCCCTCACCCCTTCATCATCAACCCCCATCCCCCCCCATCACCCCCCCCATCACCACCTCCATCACCGCCCCCCATCACCCCCCCCAACCCCGCCCCCCATCACCCCCCCCCAACCCCGCCCCCCATCACCACCCCGCCCCCATCACCGCCCCCCACCCCGCCCCCCATCACCCCCCCACATCACAACCCCATCACCCCCCCACATCACCACCCCATCACCCCCCCACATCACAACCCCATCACCACCCTCCATCACCGCCCCACATCACAACCCCATCACATCACCCGCCCCCCATCACCACCCATCACCCCCCCATCACCGCCCCCATCACCACCCCCTCCACCACCCCACCACCGCCCCCATCACCCCCCCCCATCACCCCCCCCATCACCCCCCCATCACCCACCCCCATCACCCCCCCATCACCGCCTCCATCACCCCCCCCCATCACCCCCCCCCCATCACCCCCCCATCACCACCCCCATCACCACCCCACCACCACCACCCCCATCACCACCCCATCACCCCCCCCCCCCACCACCTCCATCACCTCCATCACCCCCCACCACCTCCATCACCACCCCATCACCACCCCATCACCCCCCCCATCACCCCCCCACCACCCCCCCCACCACCACCCCCACCACCACCTCCATCACCCCCCCCCATCACCACCCCATCACCCCCCCATCACCACCTCCATCACCCCCCCCCCCATCACCACCCCCATCACCCCCCCATCACCACCTCCATCATCACTCTGCATCACCCATCCCCATCACCACCCCCACCACCCCCCCCCATCACCCACCCCCATCACCACCTCCACCCCCCATCACCACCCCACCCCCCACCACCACCTCCATCACCCCCCATCACCCCCCCACCACCACCACCTCCATCACGGCCAGACTTACCCTTCACACGGCGATCGGACTTCACGCTCCGCACGACGCGGACAACGAGAAACGCGCCACGCACTTGAACGCCATCGCCACGCGGAGCCTTCCCCTCGGCCCAATTAAGCCGCGGGGAGAAAATCGAACATCGCAGTCATCCGATTCGTGCGAATTGATCTGTTTAAAAATATATATATTGCAAATAAAAAAAGCACACGCACGAAACGCGTTTCTCTTCGCTCCCTCCTCGGCTTCCGTCTGGGTTCACGAGGCGTGCCGGGGGTCATGCGTCGCCACGTGTTTGCGTGGTCCACGTGCTTCGCATCTTCTACCGCGAATCTTTGAGTCGGTCGCTTGCAGCTTCGAACACACAAACGTGTTCTTTTGTTCCAACGTCTAACACAAAATGCGTCTCGCGACGTGTAATGTACAGCAGCGATCTATTTTGTCTTGTTTATTTGACCGCTTTGCACAGCTGTGGATGACATAACAACACCGCGTCCTGTGCCACTGCGTGTAACACCCATCGACTTACCGAGGGCTCGCGTGAGCCAGTATTTAACCCTTCATGTAACGAGACACAGACCTCCACACTTCATCAGGCGCACGTTCAACCTCCAGCCAACGTGGCTCAAGAGATTAAACAGCTGTACACTGTGCAACGGGAGATTCTCAACCGAGTGCGCCCAGCGGAGAACCCGGCTGCGGTGTAAATCCACCGTGACACCCGGAGAAGAGAAGCCACACAACTACAGGTGGAAGACGAGGAGACGGCGAGGGATGATGTTCGTTTTATCCAAAGCGCATCGCCGCCTGTGGCGTCTCTTCGCCTCGCCCACCTCTTCCTCCTCCTCCACGTGCGGTTACAGCAGCAGCAGAAAGAAGGTCGCCGCCTCTCCGTCTCGTTACGCGAGCGCCGAGACGGAACGGCTGCAGCTCGAGTACCAGGGCCTGGTGCAGGACCTCGTGAGCGCGAGATGCGCACAGGGGAGCGCCTCCCCAACTCAGCGCCGAGCGTCTTCGAGGTCTCCCGTCATTCGCTTTCGGTCACCTGTCGACGAGCAGCGGGAAGGCGCCCGAGGTCCCCTTCCCGTTCCTCAACGACGAGCGTCATCAAGATGAGGGTGGTGATGATGATGGTAATGAGGAGGAGGTGGTGGTGGTGGCCCCGGCTCCTCTGCGGGTCGAGGGGCCGCGTGCGGGAGGTCTCGCGAGCGTGACGCGAGTCCTGCAGGACACCATGCCCCTGCAGCAGCGCTACGTGCTCGAGAGGTGGAAGCGGCGCATGGTTCTGGAGCTCGGCAAAGAGGGCTTTGACCGCTACTCGCTCGGTAAACATGCACTGCTCGACTTACGAACGCCCGCACTTACGAACGCCCGCACTTATGAACCTCCGGACTTAGGAACCCCGACTTACGAACTTCTGCACTTACGAACATCCGGACTTACGAATCTCGACTTACGAACGCCCGCACTTACGAACCCCCGCACTTACAAACCCCCGCACTTATGAACTTCCACACTTACGAACACCCGGACTTACGAACCCCCGCACTTACGAACACCCGCACTTACAAACACCCGCACTTACAAACACCCGCACTTACAAACACCCGCACTTACAAACACCCGCACTTACAAACACCCGCACTTACAAACACCCGCACTTACAAACACCCGCACTTACAAACACCCGCACTTACAAACACCCGCACTTACAAACACCCGCACTTACAAACACCCGCACTTACAAACACCCGCACTTACAAACACCCGCACTTACAAACACCCGCACTTACAAACACCCGCACTTACAAACACCCGCACTTACAAACACCCGCACTTACAAACACCCGCACTTACAAACACCCGCACTTACAAACACCCGCACTTACAAACACCCGCACTTACAAACACCCGCACTTACAAACACCCGCACTTACAAACACCCGCACTTACAAACACCCGCACTTACAAACACCCGCACTTACAAACACCCGCACTTACAAACACCCGCACTTACAAACACCCGCACTTACAAACATCCGGACTTACGAACCTCGACCTACGAACCCCCGCACTTACGAACATCCGAACTGACGAACCTCGACTTACGAACCCCCGCACTTACGAACACCCGAACTGACGAACCTCGACTTACGAACCCCCGCACTTACGAACCCCCGCACTTATGAACTTCCGCACTTACGAACATCCGGACTTACGAACCTCGACTTACGAACACCCGCACTTACGAACTTACGAACCTCGACTTACGAACCCCCGCACTTAACGAACCAGCTTCGATGTAATATTTGTTTTAACTTCGCCTTAAAAAGGCAAACTCGCACTTGCAAATCAAACAGTGGAACTATTTGGTTCGGCTGAGCGATCGCGAGATGTAACGAGTCGGTCTCCCGCTGGGAGCGAGTGTGTGAAGGTGAGTGGGGAGCGGCGGTGTAGCGGTTAACGCGCTGCGCTCCCAACCCAGCGACCCGAGTTCGATTCCAGCTCACGGCCAACATCAGTGACGGTTATCTGAATCGCTGCTGCGCGCCACTGGGGAGACAAAGGCGGCCGGGCGTGGTGCTGGCCACCCACCCCCTCATGTACCGTGCCGGCCTTGAAAGGTGCTCACTAACAGCACTTGCCACATAAGTCTGTTAAGGCTACACGGAGGGGTCTTTGTAATACAGTACTGTAGTGAGACTGGTGGTCAGATTGTTAATGGTTAAGTTATGAAAATCTTTCACGGTAAGATCGTGGGACTGATTGTAATATTGTGTAATTTTGAGATTGCGTGATAATGGTGAGAATCTAAGATTTGTATTGTGTAAATACAATATTGTATTGTGCCCCCTTTAAAATGAAAACCTTCCAATATTTTTATCCTTTTTCTCATTAAGTCCAGGTGTACTGTACCATAGTTACACTGCTCACTGATGTCAATGACATTAAAGCATTTTAAAATTTAATAACAAAAAATCTTCAATGCATTTCCCTCGTGTAAGAGCAGTGATATTCATGCATGTTGGACATTATCAGTAGCAGCAGCAGCATAAACTATCCTCTCACATTGCCATTGAACACTAAATTAACGTAAATATGCCAAACATCCTTCATGCAGGATCTACCTGAAGACGTCTCAAAGAGTTGCTCTGCCGGTTGAAGCAATGGACGTCGTTGCATTTTTGCAGGCGTGCTCCGGCAGGGCCGCAAGCTGCACGCCGTCATCCAAGAAGCCCTGACACAGCGCCTGTCGAACCCCGGCGCGGACCTGGAGCTGGCGCCGGTGGTGGAGGAAGCGGCGTTCGCGGGCGAGGAAGAGTCGAAGGAAGACGACGAGCTGCTGCGGGGCTACGCGCGGAGCGTGCAGCCCGTCCTGGCGGACCTGGGGCGTGTTCGCGCCGTCGAGGGGAAGGTGCAGCACGCGCGGCTCCAGTACATGGGCCACATCGACTGCCTGGCCGAGTACAGGTGCAGCCAGCGTGGGTGCCGCGGTGGCGAGATGTTAAATCCCTCGCCTGGCATGCAGGATGTCGTGGGTTCGATCCCGGCGCCTAGAGTTTGTGCGTCTCTCTCCCCGTGTTTGCGTGGATTTTTTTACCGGGTCCTCTGGTTTTTCCCTCCACGTTTAGAAACGTGCGTTTAGAGTATTTGGCTGCTATACATTTTCACATGCTAAGCCACTTCGTTGAGCTGTCATTTGTGGCCAGGTCATTTCTGAAAAATAACTTTTCAGCTCAGTGTGCCATACCTGGTAAAACAAAAAGAATTTCGTTTTTGGTTTTAGTTTATACGGCTGACGTTGATGTCCAGAAACAACTGAGGAAATTGAGCCAGATGATTGCGTCAGGAGCAATGGAGTTTCCCCATTTACATTCCATCACACGAGGTTTTGGCCGCGCAAGAGACGCTTAAAATCTTATTTCGAACCAAAGCCCTCTGCAGTGTTGGCTCAGTGCTCCGACTCATTGCCCACATGGCCAGTTGAGATTTTCATTCATTTATAGCCATTTGACGTGCGAATAGTCGAGCTAAAATATTGCTTTGCATCGGCTGTCCGCGCTGTTTGCCGGCGTTGCAGAGGCCAGCTCTGCCTGATCGACTGGAAGACGTCCGAAAAGCCCAAGCCCAAGCTGCGAGACACGTACGACAACCCGCTGCAGGTGGTGGCCTACGCCGGGGCAGTCAATTATGACGCGAACTACGCCCCCCTGCAGGTAACGGCAGCATGTGGGCGCTTGGACAAACTCAAGGAATTTTTACAATATTTTTCCGAGTAAGGTGCTTGTACATTAATGTTTTTCCAACAGTCTGCTATCTGATTCTGTGCTCTCATTGTGGCCCATGTCCGTCACTGGTTCCTGCGCGCATGATGTTTGTTATATGTATGTTGATCTTCTTTAACGCTGTACGTAGCCAACCGTGCTATTGCAGGTGCGGGGGAAAGGACAACAAAAATATCACAAAGCAGTCCTAAAGAAATTCGTGTTCAATTTAGATTTAGAAGTGCATAGCTTTAGTGGCTTCCTAATATAGGAAAGGAAGAGCCGCCCGGGCCAGACAGCCACAGAAGCGCATCTGAAAGCGCGCGATGCGATGCGGTGACCGTTTTTGTTCGATGGCGAGCCAAAAGCCGCTGCCGGATGTTTTCAAGTGTTGTCACTCGTTAAATACAACCGAGGACAAACACGTTGAGAAGCAATAGACAACCCACGTTTTATAGCCGTCTAAACGCGACTATCTCAAGACAACGTACAGAAACACTCGTTCCATTTCTTTATTTGTTAGACTGGCATAGCATCACAGGAGTTTGCTAGGCCAGCAATGAGGTCAGATTTATTGAGGTTATTCCAGACGATAAAAAGTCTGGATTCTTATTTTGACATCCTGGATCTTTGACGTAGTTTCATACAAGATAACATATCTAACTGGCAAAGTTGTCGCGATAAGTTTTCTTCCGAGCTTGATAATAAATGGCACATTAAATGCTTGTGCACAGGACAATTTAATTTGTTTGAACTGTGTCAGATGGCAGGGAGGGTCTTAACGTCACACGTCTTTTTTTTGCCAGACCGTTAACGTGGCCTCGCTCCAAGAATCGATTGCGGATCAAAAAGTGATTCATCTTCTTGGTTCTTTCGGTAAAGTCACGTAGAAGGGAAATAATGAAATAATAATAATGAAACATAATAAAATACAATTCTCACGACGTTTCGGCCACCGGCTTGTATAATAGCAGCCACCGTTGTGGCCGAAACGTCGTGAGAATTATTTTATTATGTTTTATTTTTATTATTTTATTATTTCCCTGCTACGTGACTTTACCGAAAGAACCAAGAAGATGAATCCCTGCAGTCACGAAAGCTTTAAATCGAAATTTAAGTGTTCCATCGCTACAAGGCGAGCGTTTTCCCGACGCACCCCCGCAGGTGGAGAAGGGCATGGTGGTGGTGGCTTACAGGGACGGCTCGCCGGCGCACACGCACCTGCTGGATCCGCGGCTCTGCCTGGAGTACTGGCAGCGCTGGCTGCTGCGTCTGCAGGAGTTCCACTCCCGCGCGAGAGAGGGACATCCGAAACGGACGAAGCTGTAATGCAGGAGGATTGTCCGCGCATAGCCGTGTATACGTGACAGGCTGTTGCGGCAAGTGCTATCGGCGAGCACAGGTGCGCGCGCACACAAACGCACCGTTTGAGAAACCTGTCCAATATTTCAACTGTCACGCCTGGACATTGAACCGATGACGTTCTGTACTGCGAGTCCAGCGTTCTAACCTATGTACATAAAAACATTTCGACAAAGGCTTGTACAATAGCAGTCGCAAATTAAACCCTACTGCCTTTGTACCCGTACATGTGTACTTGAATATTTAGTATTTTGTATCTTCAATGCTTTTTTTTATGGATTTAAGAAAGACGAGTGTCATTTTGAACAATCCAAGCAACTCAACTTGACGCCTTTGTAAATGTTTGAAATGGTCACGAAGTGGAGAGTTGTTTAAATAAAAGAAAATAAACGATGTTTAATACGAACTTGTATTAATGTTTTAATATATCTACAGCATTCACCTTAATATAATTCAGCAGTGTTACCCGTACCAGACCACGTCCCGTAAACCACCCACCAAACAACTTGAGGATTATAAACTTATATTAGATAAAGGATAAGGAGGAATATTTACACGCCAGTATAAAAAATACCATTCCCTGCTATGCAGAACTAATTAAATATGCACATATCAACTTGGTTTATATTGCATAGAATTGTAATACCATATCGCAGTCTATAATATGATAATAAATGGCTTGATTTTACACAAACTGCACAAGCGTTTTAACGTATGTACACTTCGTTGGCATAAGAGGATTTATTTTACAAAGCTGACTGACACCGCTTAAGTTTAAACAGCGAGAGACCTCTAAATAAATTAATTCACCGATGAACTCGCTGCAGCCTTTTTTTTTTTGCAAATGGCCTTTTGTCTTCTGATCAAATGGCATGGAAAACCTCGGTATTTAACACTTTGCTTTATCTAAACTATGACTGCCCTTTTTTTTTCTTGGTTCTTTCGGTAAAGTCACGTAGAAGGGAAGTAATAAAATAATAAAAATAGAACATAAAATAATTCTCACGACGTTTCGGCCACAACGCAAGCAGCTGTCCTCACCACACCTGAGGACGACTGCTTGCGTTGTGGCCGAAACGTGAGAATTATTTTATTATGTTTTATTTTTATTATTTTATTACTTCCCTTCTACGTGACTTTACCGAAAGAACCAAGAAGATGAATCCCTGCAGTCACGAAAGCTTTACATCGAAATTTATGACTGCCCTTCATAAACAAAATGTGGCAGAGTCCATCTTGGGCTTTAAGGCTTCAGCAGCTAAGGGCTATTCGGACAAAATGCAATGAAATAATAAAAAAGGCGATGGATGATCCATCAAAACGCTAGCAACAAAAAAAATGCACTCTTCAGAAGTTAAACATTTCGCAGGCACGCCACCGCATTTCGCGCGATCTGGTAAATCTGTCATTCATTCCCCGTGTCTACGAGTAACCCTGGGGTACCCTCCACAGTAGGGAGCACTTTCCGTGCATGGCTTTATAATCGACCAGACGGCAGGCGCGCGGGCCCCTCTCGGCACGACCCCTCCGCCCGCACCACCCACGCTGGACGCCCTTGAAACCGCGCGACGGCGACAGCTACGGCGACGACGACGACGAATTTGACGACGAAGACGGCGATGACGACTCTTTGCTGCTGCGACCGCTGCTCCCTCCGTCGCTGCCTCCGCCGCCCGCCGTGGCTCCCCCCTGGGACCTGGCCCCTCCCTGAGCCCCGGGGGGCGCCGGCTTCTGCGCCGTGGCCTGGCTGTCGGGGTGCTCGCTCTCCGCGTGGCTCTGCAGCGCCTCGGCGTCCTCGGCCGTGTGTCCGCAGTCCTCGCACACGTAGAGCTTGGCACGCCGCTCCTTGTACGCGTACTCCTGCTCCTTGCCGTGGATCTTGCGCAGGTGCGACTCGAGCGAGCAGCGCTGCGTGAACGCCTTGTCGCACAGCTCGCACCGGTAGGGCCGCACGCCTGCACGGGAACGAGGGGGGGGGGGGGGGAGGACAGGGGCGTCCCGTTGACCGCCGAATCTCGGAACGCGCAAGCGATTCGGTGTAAACTTAGAGGCATAGCGCTGCTATTTTTAAAGACATTGTCCTGTACTCGCCGTAGAGATCTGGAGCGACATGACCGCGCTCTACGATAGCTGGCGCCAAACTGCCACATGCCCTCCTCCCGCATGGCCTTTCACTTCCGATTCTGTCCCGATGACTTAATCGGAAGAAAAACCGATGACGTGCACGTATGTCATCAGAACGGGAAAGGGTTCAAATACAGCTCGCGTGGGGTTTTCGCGGTTGTGCTACACAGATTTGAGGTGGTGCGTATCTGGCTAAGTCGTGCCGCTTATTGTTCGGCTTGATGTCCCGACGTAACTCGCTGAACGTTGCTGCGAGCATCTTCGGGAAGTGGAATCTTGCCGAACAACACGCGGTACACAACTAAGTTGGAATATGGATAAGTCCTTGGGTCTCCTGTTATGGTAAAACGCACCCTAAAAGGAAAGAGATTTCAGGATGTGCCAACCATCATCCAAAATGCAACTCGGGACCTGAAAGCCATTCCCGAAAGAAGAGTACCCAGAGATGTCTCGACAAATATGATCGCTGGAATCATCACTTGTGTTTGATCAGCAGGCGACCAGTTTGAAGGAGATACATTTGATTGGGTTTTGCCTGCACAAACAGGAGTCCCGGTACTTTTTAAATCAACACTCGTACAGCGATTCCTCCCGTAATGCGTGTTTCCTTAAAGCAGCACTTTTCAAGAATGAGTCTACCTTGTTCAGCGAGGAATTGCTGTCGTTGCTTCGTCCCAGATCTATCCACAGTGTCATTCTCTCTGTGGTCTTTCCCCCCGTGTTTCCCAATTGCATTTACCCGCCATGTATATTAAAACCGCGGTTATCTTCTGCAGGGGCATTTTTTTCGCCGAGTAGTTGTGTTAATTCACAGTCGCCGACTAATGTGCCTGATATTTTTCCCCCACTGTCGCTGTACGCAACTTTGATGTTCGGCAAATGGCAGAGTAACAAAATCGTGTTTTCGCTGCCTTGCCCAAGCTTGCATTTGGTGCTGAAAAATCGGCAGGAATTTTTGTACTCGTGCAAATATACATATATATTTAATTTATTATTACTCTTTATTTAAAGCTTTCGTGACTGCAGGGATTCATATTATTGGTTCTTTCGGTAAAGTCACGTAGAAGGGAAACAATAAAGAATATTTTCTTGCTGTGGATTTCACACGTCGTGAGAATTTTATTGTTTTATATTTTTTATAATTTTATTGTTTCCCTTCTACATGACTTTACCAAAAGAACCAAGAATATTATTATTACTTGTTTATTTTTAGTGCCTTGCTTACCTTTTCTCCGTTTTGCACTCCTATCGTGTTTTCATATCACGTCATTAGTTTTTGTATAGTTTGTTGTCGTAACTTACTGACCCGCCCCCTACTGGACATCTGTGAAAAGAAGCTTCGTAGCTCATCGGATTCCCTCCAGGATATATACAGATTCCGTCTGCCGTTTGTCGCCGAGGCTCACGGTTCGAATCCAGTGGCCGACCTGGTTACTACTGCGGTGAGTAACGACCGTGATCATTCTTCGCGCCGTTCTGCTTCACTCGGTGGACGTTAAAGATCCGCCTGGCGTCATTTGCGAGAGAAGACGGTGACCGGTGGTCGAGACTAACAGAGTGGCACCCAAAGAAGGGAACGCACCCGATTATGTATGTACGCATGTTTAACCTCTTTCAGCACCGTACGTAGCCAACTGCGGAGCAGCAGTGTTGACATCCGCTCGCTAGACCGTGAGAGAGAAGACAACAGCTTGGGCAGGCCTTCACCCAGCACTGGATCGATCACGTCTGATGACGACGACGACGACGACGGTGAATGCACCACAGTTGCCGACGTGCACCTACCGGTGTGCGTCCGGATGTGGCGCTTGAGGTCGAAGGTGTCGTTGAAGCCCTTGCCGCAGAAGCGGCAGCTGTGCTTGCGGAAGTCGCTGTGGCACTTCATGTGGCGCGTCAGCATGCGCTGGGACTGCAGCGCCTTGCTGCACACGCTGCACGTGAAGCCCGACGGTTTGGCCCCGCTCGTGATCTGGACATGAGAGGGGGGGGTTGGAAAAAAGTTAATCAGGAGTCACGAGAGAAGGGTCGGCACCGTCAGCAGGTGAGAAAAACGTATCTTTCTACTGTGTGGGTTAGCGTTCTTCGCTAATTTTCAGAGGGGGGGGGGGTTGGGGGGGTGGAAAAAAGTTAATCAGGAGTCACGAGAGAAGGGTCGGCACCGTCGGCAGGTGAGAAAAACGTATCTTTCTACTGTGTGGGTCAGCGTTCTTCGCTAATTTCAGAGGGGGGGGGGAGCACTTTCGCCGATAAGACAACAGCGTGAGGATTCGCCACACCGCCTTCAAGGGATGTTTCCACGATTGTGTATTGTCCGGGGGAGGGGGGGCCGCTCGTGGCCTGCAGGCCTTGCGATGAGCAACGCTGGCGGTACGACCCCGTCAACACGGAGGGAGGGAGATGCACGGTACAACCGTGACAACCCTACGCAGTCGTATTAAACGGAGAAATTTGACAGATTTTCATTGTTAATCAACGTACAGTTCTGTGAATTTGTAACATCTAATTTCTTTAGAACTGCTTTTTGTCTTTAGTTTATCGCACCTCCGATTAGCATCATTGGCTACGTACGGTGCGAAAGAAGTTCAGCATATGTACATACACCTATTAACATTGTTTTATTATCATTACAGGAGAGCCTCAAGCCTCTTTCAGGAGACTCCTGCCAAGATTTCGCAGTAGGGGGCGATGTTACTACGTGTGATCCCAATCGTGTCATTTGCAGGTCATTTTTTTTGCATTGCGACGTTTGGCCAGCGCCAATTAGAATGTGTGTTTTATTATCTATGGGAGGAAACCAGAGGAAATCCATGAAGAACAGGGGAGAGAACATACAAACTTCGCGCAGAAAGGGGCCCGAGTCGGGAATCAGACCCAGGCCCCTTCTTGCTGCGATGCACAAGTGTTAGCCACTGTGCCCCCCTGTCGCCTGAACAAGCAGACTGTGCGAGTTCTGTGAATGTGAACGTATTTTGCAACGGGGAGCGGTAATGTAGTGGTTAGCGCACTGTGCTACAAACCCAATGACCCAGGTTTAATTCCCGCTCACGGCCACCACCAGTGACAATTATCTGACCCGGTCCTGGGCCTCCACGAGGTTGGCTCAGCCTCAGATGAGTACCTGGTGCGGCCCCTGGGGAGACAAAGGCGGCCGGGCGTGGAGTTGGCCGCTCACCCCCTCGTGTGCCGTGCCGGCCTTCATAGGCGCTCGCTAACAGCCCTTGCCCCAACCGTCTGTTAAGGCTGTACGGGGGACCTGTGTCTTTGTATGTATGTTTAACTTCTTTCGCACCATACGTAGCAAACCGTGCCTATTGGTAGCTGATCAGGCAAACAGTTCAAACGTACAAAAGGTGTATATTTAAATAAACGCATTGCCATTCTAATCACAATTGTAACGTCTTGCTTGCACGTTGCATTATGAAATGGTTCTTTACAGTCATTGTATGTTGAACTTATGTCTCACTGTACGTAGCCAACCATGCTAATCGGAGGTGTGGAATGAGGCTATAAGGGGGATCTTTGATGTTCTACTAGTTATCACAGCGAGCGGAAGAAGCACAGTGGTAGGGTGTGCAGCTCGCCATCGGAAGATTGTGAGTTCAAATCCCGCTCGTGGCTCGATTATGGCACGCTGTAAATCGATGTAAGATAAGAAAAGACTCGGGCCATCATCCCTCTGGGCCAGATGAAATGAGTACCACTTTCTGGGAAAGTCACCAGTGATTGTCCTATGGGAAAAGAACCCATCACCACCATAGGGATGTGGAATTTTCACCACTGGCTCAGGGTTGTAAACAGGAGACGAACATCACCCCATGCTCAATTGAGCCACTTTGTGTGATGCAGGTAAGGGTTTTCACTTCTGAGGTACGACAAGAGTGAGACTTATGAGAAGAGGTCATAACACTGCATTGAAATGCGTTGTCATGAATGGTGCATTGTTACGCAACTAATTAAAGCTCGGCCTTTTAACGTCCCAGGAAAAAAAGTATACATCATGCCAGACAGCTACCTCAAAGAGAGGATGACCCTGGGAAAATCAGGACAGGTGGCAACCCTAGATACATGTATGGGGGGGGGGGCATTCAGCACGGTCATCCCTGAGGCCGCGCTGCCACAGATGAATGGTGCCTCGTGGTGGATCTGTAAGATTAGCCGGCACCACGGACGCTTCACACCTGACGGGGAACGATGCAACGGCACACGCCCGTGTACGCACGCTCGGCCGCGGGCCTTATCACGGGCAAGAACCCGATCAAAACAAAAACTCGGCACTGTTTTGGCAACACCCCGCCCACCTCTGGGTCTCAGCGCGTATATATTTGACGAAAGAAAATACTTGGCTGTAAAAACGATGGATAACATGCAGAAACATTTTACAACTCATCGACTGCTGGATGAAGGCTCCCTCCCCCCCCACACGCTCAATTATTCATGGGGATTGTTGGGTTTCAAAATACTTTGCTACGCTCACCGGTATACCACGCAGCACGGGTGGTAAGCTGTGACCGGGAATCGAATTCAGGGAACCACTTTCATAGTGCAGCGTGTTAACCGCTGTACCACTACCCTCCGTAAAATGAACAAAAAAGGTAATAGCATCATTGGAACCTCATTTGCCAGTAAAAAATATGATAATTGGTTTTTTACCCTTCTATCTGGCAACAAAACTGACCAATTATCATATTTTTTTACTTGCAAATGAGGTTCCAATGGTGTAAATGCTTACCCCGAGCTCTCATACTCTCATGGTGCATTGTCTTTGAGTTGTGCGCCTTTTGGCGTCATCTGGTCCAACACCATGTGAGACTAGGCTCTAAGGAAAGCTGTCTCGGGTGTGGACCAATCAACTTCAAGGACAGTGCATACATTATCAGAGTTATGTTTTTGTTTGCATTATGACTGCAGGTATTGTGGTCTATGCAAACATGACTCCTTGTAAAAAAAAACGTGTCAGTTTTGTTGCCAGATAGAAGGGTAAAAAAACAATTATCAGGTAATAGCATGTTTAAAACTGTACGGACCATTGTCAATCCACTGCGCTATGAATGCCTCACCACGCCGCGTCAGTCGTCGGTGCCGTTTGAACATTCTTCACCACGCTAGTCGATGCTGGTTGGTGGAGGGGCCGCTCCTCGGACTTATTCAGATAGCACCACTGATGTTAGCCGTGGCTGGGACAGAGACAAACTCGTGTCGCTGGGTTTATAGAACGGTGCGCGAACCAGAATAAGAATCTTTACTTCGACTGGACGAATCCGATGAGCCACCTACCACCCCTCATGTACTGCAACGAATTGCCTGTAGACTCTTGTTAACGGGACAGAGTACACCATGCATGTGTGTTTGAATAGGATGGCTAATCTTCAATAGGGCACCATGGCAGATGACTTACGTGTAGAGCGCATACCCGTTCCAGTTGTGAGTGCTACTTGAGTTATTGTAGTGAAAGTGTGAATAAAATACATTAATGAATGTAGTGAAAACATGGGAATCGAAAAGCATTTCTTCTTACAATTGCGATTAAACTGCATGAATCGTGAGTTTCAGAATAAATTTTGATCGGTGGATTGACGCATCGTTCCATCGCCGATGAGCATCTCCCCATGCTCGTTAAAATTTAATTTGGTTGACGAAAGAAACGATTGGCCTGATAAAAACCTTTATTTAAATATATATTGCAAAAGAGATGGGACCTCATGGTGCAACCACTGGTTATATATAGCACAACGAATGAAGTAAGTGTATGCTGCGTGCCTGTAGACAGGTAGATTCAATAAAATAGGATCAACTCCCATTGCTGGCGTGGATATATTTCCAGTCGACTCTTAATTGGAGCAAAAAAATATTCGTTGCTATTAGCGACAATTGAAAAACCGTTACGCAACTTTATACTAAAGTTTGGTTCATATTAGATCACTTCTACAAGAGTTATTGTGCCAACTCCATGGCGGACGGATGGAAGAGACAGACGGACGCGCACATGCGCCAACGCTTTCTTCCGTTTAGAGACTCAACGCTTTCTTTAAACTTTTACGACGATCAACGACCCACCGATGGATCTTCCCGTCCCACAGCGAGCGAGCCTCACCTTGATGCGCGATCGCACGTAGTGCGGATCCCGGGCCCCACCATCGCCGCCGGTGCCACCGACCCGCTCCCCGCCAAGTGCAGGCCTCGCCGTGGCCGGGCTCACCGCGGCCGGGCTCGCCGTGGCCTCCTCGCCGCACGGCGGCGGCGGCGGCGTCGAGCGCTCCCCGCTGGACGTGGCCGACGGAGACGCGGGGCACAGAGAGCCCTCCTCATCGCTGCCACTCGACGCGCTGTACCCAACTGCACGACGGGGAACAGCAGGTGGGCGTGGGGGCGGGTGGGGAGCAGCCAAAGTCAAGGGGACAACAGGGTGGGAAACCTACGGCTTGCAAGTCAGATGCGGCCCGTGGCTTCCTTTCGTATGGCCCACAGCCACACGAAGCCTGCCACTTCCAAAGGGCTCATGGACGATATTTATCCATTGCATTATTTTTTTTTATTCTGACAAGAGCCCGGTACAGAGCGCGCACAACAACAAGGGAAGGGGGCACAGAAATTCCACGGGCAGAAGCCCAAACTCAGCTCATGGGTTGGAGGAAAGGGGAGATCGCTGCAAGCATCTTAGCCTCACTAATCGGGTACTAGAGGGGAATATTTTCTACCTGGCAACGGTGTGTTTTACATTTTAGCGCCATCCTCAATCACGGCGGCCAGTGCAAGGGACTCTTGCAATGACAGAAGTGGCTGAGGTGCGCGTGGGTTGATGCATTGATGCCAAAGATATATTTTTTTAAAGTCCTATTCTACCCTCGGTTTAAACATGCCAAGTGGAGGGAAATGCCAGCTCGTGAGACGCTACCTGTGAACATAACAAATAAGGGGACACGGAAAAAACAACAATAATACTGGTAGGAACCTCCTGGTTACACCAGCCCACAGGGGATTATTGTGTCCATCCGTCGTGCATAAAAACATGGGAGGGGTGGGGCTGGGTGGGGAGGGGCTGGGTGGGGAGGGGCTGGTCACCCCGTGGTGCCCTTATAAAACTCAACGTTAAACCTACTCACGCCGGCTTGTGCCCGCCCTCACAGTCGGCCATATTTGCAGGAATACACCACGCCACCATTGACCCTGGCCATTGACCGAGCAACCCAACGTTCCTACCAGCTCCCTCCGCAGGAACGTGTTTTAGGAGGGTCCTGCAATGCAATGTTTCTCACCTCATTAAGGTAAGACATAGTCCAATAAAAACAACTTGCTCTCACCTTACGGAGGCACTCATCTAGCGGTGGATTGACAAATGACTGTAGTTCGTTATTTCATACCTATTAACCCAGACAAAAATTAAGAGGTCACAAGCCCACTGATGAGAATCCAAAAATACAAAACCGGTGTCCAACTTTTTTTCTGCTAAAACAACTGCTGCTCGGAGACAATTTGTTCTCAAAAGGCTCCGAGGCTGATGGACTAAACTGCGACTTTTAATTTCCACGCTCGTCTTAATTGTTGCTGCTACAGCCATTTCAAACCTCTTAAAACAGTCTGCATCAGCAGCAGACCATGCTTTCCCACCGTATGACGGACGCTTGTGTTGCGCCCGAAACGTCGTGATCTATTTTATTTTATACCTACGTGACTTTACCGAAAGAACCAAAGAGTATGGATTCCTGCAGTCACGAAAGCTTCAAATCAAGATTGAAAATGTACAAGTTAAAAAAAATCAAGCACACAAAATCTTAAAATGTATACCGACCGTGTATTAAGTTTACTCTTGGCTTGGACGTCAACCACACACATATACGCTATATTCTTTCAACGTATTTATTTGAAACCCGAATGGGCCAAGGAAATCCCCTTCAGCGGTCCACTTCTTAAAATCACGTCTTAAATCTCACCTATTTGTATTGCAGGCTTTCCCCCTAAAATAAAAAAATGTCGTCTGATTAGATTACTCTGTAATTATTATTAATCGCTTTTATAAGTTCTTTATTTTATTGGAATTTCGAGTGTAGTTGATATTATCAGCTTTCTATTTCACTTAGATCGTATCTATACAGTACTTGTAAGTGTAGTTTTATTTTTAAGTACTGTAAATCGCTTTGAGATACTTAAAATGAAAGGCGATAACATAAAGGTTATTATTACCATTAAAAACAGAGCATGTCAACTCAATGTCACCTATGCAGGACAGGCGATGACATTTCACGTGTCTCTACGTTTTTCATTTGATCTCCTTAAAGGGTACAACACCAATTCAGACTTTCAAATTTGTCAACTTCCTAAAAACACTGCCCCAACTTTCTCAGAGCCCCCCGAAGCATAAACGGAGGCCTCAGCTGAAAGTCAGTCAATCATTCTGTTCCTCCATCCTCTCCGCGATTCTCAGATTGTTTCACCCCAAAGGCCCATTGAGCCAATCAGCTCATTTTCAATGGCGAAGGGGCATGCCCCGGACCTCTGGATCCCCCTGTATGTTTACGTTTGCAGCGCTGTGTTCATTAATAACGTAGTGAGCGCGCATTCTCATGGAAAGTCGATTCGTTACATAAGTACGTCGCCAGACGGGTAGCACCACGGATATATACACATACACCGATGCTAGAATGCAACGTGATATCACAGCAGGTGCTGCCACGTGTTAAGACATGCTTGCAATACATTTCGTTGTGCAATGTCGTAGGCAATTGTCTTCATAAGCTCTGGTATTGGCCTGTAACCTGTCTTGATCTAGTCAACACTTTCGTTCAGTCAGAGTGTTCGTCAAGCTGAGAAACCCCTGTGTAGTTTTACTGAAATCTTAGTCTGGGCGATTTCATTAAATCATCCTTCTAACTCTGGTGGAATTAAGCAGTCAAATATTTTAGTCCCGTGCGTAGCAAATTACATATTGGTGCGAGGGGTCTGCAATTTTCACGGAATAATATCATCAGGTCTGACGATCATTAAGAAAATGTGTTTATATACACATATAGCCATGTTGGTGTCCGTCAATGCACTGAAGTTCTGAAAACTTTACTAAATTATCTGAGCCTGCTTCTTCGTGCAGACTGAATTAACGTCGTCTCAGTCTCACGGTTTTGGTCTTTGGTGGGCAGCGGTATTCGTAGTTGAATGGTGATGGTGGTGATGGCAGAGTGATGGTTGTGATGGTGGTGATAATGGACGGCAGTCGTAGTCATGGTCACGCCCGACAATGTTCGTCCACAGTCACCGTTGACTAAAATAAAGATGTAAAAAAAGACTTTGTTGAAGAACATTTTAGTCAACGAAATGAACACGCGTCACTGCACTTGGCTAGGTCTCCATTGAATGCAAAGCGAGACTTGTATCCTAAAGGGGCTCTCAACTACTTCAAATAAATAAGGAGAAATAACAATGACTGGAATACATTCGTTCATAGATTATGCCGTGGTGTGACGGTTAGTGCGCTGGACTTGCAACCCAGAGGTCTGCCGGTTCGATCTTGTGGTGCGGCAGTTTTAAAGGATGGTGCAATTTTCTTAAATCTCGCCACCTCTTTCCAGTATGAATGTGCAGAGTACGACGCTTCAGCCTTGTCCGGGAGCTCATACCCACAACGGTGATGTGCTCAATTAAATAACGCAACGCCCATCAGATTCGGAACACTGAAACCGACACCGATCCCCTGGGGCTCCCTGTTCTGGCAAACATTCTGCCACAAAATATCCACCGAGATATCGCGCATATTGCAAGAGAGTGTCCGCGTTTTACTTTCAAATGACTGCCACCTACCTACCCATCATCAACCAAAACCGTAGCAATGACAATTCGCCACTGACTCGAGTCGCGATCCAACCTTCTGGGATCGCACCTCGTTGACTTGATCATTCCTCCTCGAACACTCCGGTGGAGCCATCGACCGTATCAGAACATCAACAGACCGATGAACGGCACATATCCTTCATAAAAAAACAAAAATTAAAGATAAGCCGCAGTGCGCCTTGCAGCCATGCCACCCAAACTATGGACCATACATACCACAGAGTAAACCACTGTAGCATGCTGCTCCGTCAAGGGAGGCATTGCAAAAAATCTAAACGAACTTTAATTCTAGATTTGAAGCTTTCGTGACTGCAAGGATTCATATTCTTAGGTTTTTTAGGTTTTTTCGGTAAAGTCACGTAGGTATTTTATTTTACTTTTATTAATTTTAATGTTTTACCTACGTGACTTTACCGAAAAAACCTAAGAATATAAACGAACTTTTTTTCCCGAAGCTCTCTCTCGTCGTGGCTAGCAGACCACGACGTTGGCATGTCGCCGCTGAACATCGTGCGACTGCCGTACGCAATCGTAGAAGAGTTCGTCGATCGGCAGGTGTGGCACGTGGTGGCGTTTAATGTGTGTGCGGGTAACTCCCAGCGGCGCATGCAACACGCCCGGCCAGCGTGGAAAAGTAGGTCAAAAATACCGGCCGGCAGTGTCGTGAGCCGGGCTATTGCAGGAGCTGCGCCTTTATCTATCGACCCCCTTTTTTTCGCGTGGACCGAAGCTCGCACGACGTGCCCGTTAAGTCGTTATACTCCGCTCCATTAGAAGCCCCGGAGAACAAACAGTGGTCAGTGGCCCGGCCCCGGACTCCCCCCACCCATCCCACCCACCCAACCCCAACCCCGTCAGCCACCCGCAGGGCGGGCGGTGTTGCCACAGCGGGAGAGCCGGGCAAACAAAAGCCACGCGATCATTAAGCCCGAGGCAGGTTAGCGGCGCAGGGAGTGTCCAGTGCTCCCAGGTATTACCTTAAGTGGTATGCGTTTGGCAGTTAACTGGAGGTAACGGTAGTTTTACCATGGCCCCCTCCCCCACCCCCATCATCATCAACATCATAAGACTAAGGCACACGCTAGAAGGATTGTCGGGGTGAGTGGATGGGGGGCGGGCATGAACGTGGATTCAGTATGCACCGTGTGGCTGATGGGATGCGTTTTAAATACTGTACGGTAGTTCTATGTGTTCGTGTGAAGGGAAGCGATACGGGCGTCGGGCTGGGGACTACGATTTAGCAGAGGGGTTGGTCTCTTGCCTAGAGACGGCCGGTGGTGAACAAGAATTGGATCGTGGCGGGCCGAGCTCTGTTGATGAGCCACTGAATATTCTTGGTTCTTTCGGTAAAGTCACGTCGAATGGAAATAATAATATAATAAAAATAAAACATAATAAACACAACGCAAGCAGCCGTCCTCAGGTGAAGAAACTGAGCTGTGAATTTTATTTCATTCAGTTTTATTTGTATTATTTTATTATTTCCCTTCTACGTGACTTTACCGAAAGAACCAAGAATATGAATCCCTGCAGTCACGAAAGCTTTAAATCGAAAGCCACTGAAAGTGCAAAGTTTCCTCCGTGTTGAACCAATGCTGCTGAATGTATGTGCTCCCAGGAGGCCGAGTGGCTGATGGAATGCCTAAACAAATATTGTGTATGTATTTGTTCATGTGGATGGAGAGATGTTGGAATGAAGCGTATTGTCTACTTGATTTAACGGGGAGAAAGGTGGAACACAATGCATCATGGATGTCTGTGTGTAGCGGTTAGCGCGCTGCGCTACAAGCCCCGCGATCTGAGTTCGATTCCCGCTCACGGTCAACACCAGCGACGATTATCTGAACCGGTCTTGGGCCTCTCCTAGGTCGACTCAGGCCTCAAATGAGGACCTGGTGCGGTAAGCATCGCTACTGGGGAGACAAAGGCGGTCGGGCGTGGTGCTGGTCACCCACCCTCTCGTGTGCCTTTTTGGACTTCATCGGTGCTGCTCGCAAACAGCACTTGCCCCAACTCGGCCACCTGAGTTCGATTCACGGCCACGATTAACGCCATCATACGAGTGGTGAGTGATTGCCATCAGTCGTGGTCCAAAGCAACCCTCAACCACTGCCCCCATAGCAAGCCACACAGGAGGGCGAGCGTGGTGAAGTATGGTCAAACAAAGACGCGGGGAGACATTAACCCGACAATCGATTTACAGAGGGCTGCAGATTATTCGTTTTTATTATTCAGGGCAAATACCTCTTGTAAGAAATTTTAATGGAAGTTATTCATTGCGTCAAACAAGCGCTTGCTAATAGAGTATATGGCTGTATTGTGAGGACATTTATAAGTTCATAACTTTTATGAGCATCTCGATGCACATTTGGGAATTCGATATACGAGCTCAGATATTCCGTGATGGTTTTGGAATTGTGCTAAATACATAGCGAACCATGTATAGATTCCCCGCTCAAATAACAGGGAGAGATAATATAAAACGCTACATTTTATTCCAAAGCCTCCACACGTTTCCTCACCAAGCGCAATGGAAATTGTTCAATGTTTAACACTCTACTCGGTAAGATATGGAGTCATTGCTTTCACAATATTCAATCACCTGCTGGAAAGTGGGAACGTCATGAGAAATCAGTGGAATATCTATAAATTCATCTGGATATCTTTGAAAAAGAGCTGTATAGCTCATAGGTTTCCTCGAGTATAAATAAATATTCAGATTCTGATCGTACTGCAAATAAAGGGAAAAACAACAACACAAGTTTCTGTCTCGCCACACAAAAATAAAACGCGCCTTTCAAAATCCACTGTTGTACTGCACTTCTACGACCTGACGGTAACGATCCTCGCATTCAACATCTCGCATTGACCAGCGTGGCGAGGTATGGTCGAATGACCGCCACGAGACGTGAGAGGGTCCTCGTCCAGCCGTGAGTTGACGAGACGGGGGCTGTACAGGTACGAACGAAGCATGCCGCCGGTCGACTTCACTTAAAAGTTTACACGGTTTTGTTTAACATTGAGATAAAATGACTGTGCGGTGGGGGGAGCAAGGGGGTTCTGTTTGTCGTTGTGTTATATGGCCATGCATGCATGCAACTGGGTCGGAGTTTGTCTTTGGGTGGGGGTGGATGGGAGGAGAGTGCGTGAGGAATGGGACTGGTCGTTAGTGGAAGGTGTTGTTAGGCTCAGATTACGCCCATTGAGCGCGTCTCAAAAGGCCGGGGAAGGGGCCTGGTTGATGGAGGGAGGGACAAACAGGGAACTAGAGATGTAAGGGAGGAGGGGACACACGTAGATGGACGGAGATGGGAGGGAGGGGACACGGAGGGAGGGAGGGAGGTAGTAGATACGTTGTGTGCGGGTGGGAAGAAATGTGGAGGTCGTGATGGGCTGCAGTGGGTGTAGATGGGTGGGTCGCTAAATGGCGTTAATGATTGCCGCATTATCGGGCCCGTTAGCCTACCATAGCGCAGTCTGATAACGCGAGCAATCCCTCGGGCGCCATTCCGTTATAAGCGAGACTCGGGGCGAGGAACCGCGCATGGCCGCGCAGCATCCCGCGGGGTCGCACCGCGAGACCTCGGGAGGCTTTGCGGCGACTCGTGCGGGCGGCGCACGGCGAGGGTAACGACCTCCACGACCCACTCTCAAAGACGAGTGGGGCACGCCAACGAACAGGCATCTGCAGGCACCATGTTTGTCTCAACGGTGTTGAATTTAAATCGGCACGGGTGTAACGGACCGCTCGCTGCGTCTTTTACGCAGCGTTCATGGTCACCTAGATGGACGTAACGGTGAGACTGGTGGATACAATAATCGATGTGCGTATTACTTACGTGCCAGGAAATCACTACGTTTTGTGGAATGCGCTAAGCTATACACCACCAACGCCTATAGGCTGCCACCTGAGCTGTAGCTCAAGTGACTTTTCGCACAGGTAAGTTTTCGGCGCAGGCCCGCGCAACGCAGCCCAGCGTTCGCTACCCCTTCGAACGCCATCCACAAACTCACCCACTCACCCTCGTTCGCCCAACCAACACACACCTACACCCACCCACCTACACCCACCCAGCTACACACGTCGCCGCTAAAACCCCCCGCCATCCGGCGCGCTTACCAGGCACGTACGACTCGGCCCGCTCTTGGTCGGGGAGGCTGCTCCAGTCTCGGGCGGGCTTCCTCTGGCACGGCTGTTTCACGAGAAAAGCACGTGGCATCCTTCTTGCCTTCTCGTCCCTTTCTCCCTCTTCGCTCTTTACCTGTGACGGGGCCCGCCACGAAGCACGGGAGAGCGTGCGAGAGAGAGAGAGGAGTAACTTGTAACTGGCCCGAGCGAGCAGGAAGGAGGAGAAGGAGGAGGGCTTGATGCTGAGCGTGTGGGAGGGAAGATAGGCGCACCTTTGCTGGTAAACCACCGTGCGTGAACGTAGCTAGGGGGTGGGAGGCGGAGCTGAGCGGAGAGAGGGTGGGAGGGAGTTGTTTTGTGCCCTGAGTTCCGTTACACCTTTGCCTATACAACTCTTTTTGTGTGTGTGTGTGTGTTCAAGATGTAGTTTCTCGCTCTTTCTTTCGTGGACGTGTTTGAGCAGCGATGTGCGTTTTTTTTGGTTGTACGCCTGAAAAGGTGCCCTAATAAGCCGTTAGTATTTCGATTTAAAGCTTTCGTGACTGCAGGGATTCATCTTCTTGGTTCTTTCGATAAAGTCACGTAGAAGGGAAATAATAAAATAATAAAATAAAACGTAATAAAATAATTCTCACGACGTTTCGGCCACAACGCAAGCAGCCGTCCTCAGGTGAAGACCAGGTCTGTCGGGGAGACGCGGTCTGTCTGGGAGACGATCACTCGGTCTCCCAGACAGACCTGGGCGCATTTCGACTGATTTGTTCACGAGCACCTTTTTTTAAACATGCGAGTTTAAATTTGCCGACCGGCAGAGTATCACTAAGTGTCAAGGATCATTCACAGGGACGTCCTATTTGAATTTTTTAGTCGGGAAATATAACGCTCAAACTCCACGCATAACGCTCAAACTCCACGCAGATCGACTTCCAGAGACCTGTTTGGGTATCTTGGAGGTGCTCAGCTTGACCAGGCACGAATCTCCCGCACGCAAAGGCTTCATCTCCGCGTGGTCCACCAACCCCGCCTCCATCATAGGAATGCGCCACTCAAATAACCGCAACAGATACGACGATTACAATGCTAATGCGGATTTTGGTGATTATGATGGTTATTGATGATGCTGATAATGATCATGCTAATCCTGATGATAATAACAACGATGAGTACGATGATGCTGCAACTGCTGTTGATCATGACGACATCGATTATGATAATGATGATGCTGATGGCGGTGATGCTAATGCGTAAGTATAATCCTTGTGCTACGGATTTTGCTGGTGCTGCGAATGCTAATGATGATAAGAATAATGCAATTTGTAACACGCACAATATTTCACGGCCATCAGTGACCGTGACTCCGAGGCGTGGAGCTAGGCTCAGTGTCACTCGAAAGCCAGGGAAAATAGATGGGGCCTTTAAGAAAGAGGTGGGGCCCATTTCAGTGTCTCTTCTAGGTAAGTGTAGATCTGAATGCTGTTGCGATTGTGCAGCTGGATGATGATGGCATCAGTCTACTGGACATCTGTGACTACTGGACGTCTGTGGAAAAAAACCAGCTTCATAGCTCATCGGATTCCTCCAGTATACATCTGGCTGTCGCCTGATGAAGCTAGTTGGAATTACTGGTGAAACGTCGTACTCGGATTGTAAATGTTGTGGCTTGGCGCTCCAACACACCGGTTAGTGCTGCACTAGTGACTAATTGGCCACGTTCTGTTTACGTGACAACCCTTACTAGTTGGCTGTGTCGAGTGGTGGCGGGTTTAACGACACATTAATATATTTACGCGAATTAACCCAAAAAAACCTATAATGGATCAATATTCTGATTCTGATTCCAGGCGGGTGGGGCCTGTCACGGAGAGACGACGCCAGGCGGCAATGATCACGGTACTCTTCGGTTTTTTCGGTAAAGTCACGTAGGTAAAAAAAATAGAAATAAAATAATAAATCACGACGTTTCGGGGGCAACACAAGTCTCCGTCATCAGGTGGGACCGTCACAGCTAAATTTACTGTATCAAGTGAGGAAAATTCCAAGAGACAAGCCCTTAAATACAAGTTAAGGGGGGGTGGGGGGCTTATCTGAATGTGATTGCCAGGGAGTGGCGAATTCATTTTTAACCTACGTGACTTTACCGAAAAAACCTAAGTCTATGAATCCTTGCAGTCACGAAAGCTTCAAATCTAGAATGATCACGGTGTTTGCCGCTTCGGTGGCTGCTGATGATGATGATCCTGCTTCTTCTTCCTCCTCCTCTTCTTTCTGATGTTGATGCCGAACAACGACTACGATCTCACATGCAGGTGGTCAAGTCCAGGTAACCACAGCGTCAGCAGCAGCGGAGTTGTCTATCGCCCGTGACGTCTCCTTCGTATTTGCTAATCGGGTATTGCGTCCTTTACGTGTTGCGCGGTCTGTTATGAATGATCACAGAAGAGCTTTTTTAAATTCTCCATTCGCGTATCGGCTATTCGCACCCGCAGCCATGGTTTGTACAGGGTGGACCGTGAGCTTCGTGAAAGTTCCAGCCACGGGCAACTTCTTCTTGGTTTTTTCGGTAAAGTCACGTAGAAGGGAAGTAATAAAATAATAAAAATAAAATATAATAAAATAATTCTAATTCTCACGACGTTTCGGCTACAACACAAGCAGCCATCTTGTTGTAGCCGAAACGTTGTGAGAATTATTTTATTATGTTTTATTTTTATTATTTTATTACTTCCCTTCTACGTGACTTTACCGAAAAAACCAAGAAGATGAATCCCTGAAGTCACGAAAGCTTTAAATCGAAATTTAACCACGGGCAACTTGTGCGTTGGGTCATGCCGCCGGTGATGCTGCTGCTGCTGCTGCTGCCGATGGTGTTATTGATGATGTTATTGATGGCGTAGCCCAGGTGCGGCGCGTGACTGCGAGTAAAAGACGACCATCGGCTCGTCGCCCACGCGCATGCGCTCGCCGGGTATAACGGTGTTGCCGGAGCGCGCAGGTAAATCCTGCCAGACCGGTTCGGCAAACGCCGACACCGTCACACCCCCCCCCACTCAGTCAGTCAAGCAGCCGCCTGGCCGGCAACAGCAACCCCAATCCCTTCCCTGCCGACCACCTACAACCAAAAGACAAAGATCCCCCGGGTAGCCTTTGACACACTTTTGGGGCAAGTGCTGTTAGCGAGCACCGATCAGGGTCGGAACGGCACACGATGGGTTAGTCAGAACCACACGCGCCGGCCGCCTTTGTCTCCCTCGTGGCGATGATTACGCAACGCATTTAAGGCCGAGTCTACCTAGGGGAGGCCCAGGACAGATTCAAATAAAAGTCACCGGTGCTGGTGGCCGTGAGCGGGAATTGAACTCGGGTGGCTGGGTTCGTAGTGCAGCGCGCTGACCGCTACACCACCGCTCCCCCACCACCACCACACCCCACGTGAGCCCAGGTGAGCCACCTCGCCTCTCCCCCACCACCCATGCACGCCTCCGCAGTTGAACCCCCGTTCAATCTCGTACATCTCAGCCAACACACGCCATAGATATACATGTGCACGCACAAACAGAATACTAAGAACCCCTACCCCCCCCCCGTGTCGTCTGTTAATGTTGGAGTAAGTTGCTGTTTAGCGGCAGTGTGGCACCCGAACCAAGTCCGCCCGCCGACTTTGTATCTCCAGCGCAGATGGATTACAAACTGGACCATAAAAGGCTGTCGAAATCGGCGAGGTCTGAACCCGCTGTGGGGACCACTCGCCACTCGATGTGAGTCGAACTCGGCAGGCCGACTTTGTACCTCGCAGCGCAGTGCGCTAACCACTGCGCCACCGTTCCCGAAAAGTGCATGGACAAACGCATGCACCATACGCACACATGTACACTCTACACAGACACAGATCCCCCGTATAGCCTTAATACACTGTTGGGGCAAGTGCTGTTAGCGAGGACCTAAGAACGCCGGGACGCACACGAGGGGTGGGGTGGCCAGCGCCACGCCCGGCCGCCTTTGTCTCCCTAGCGGCGATGTTTACACACCGCACCAGGCACTCGTTTGAGGCTGAGTCGACTTAGGTAAGGCCGTGAGCGGGAATCGATCTTGAGTCCCCGGCTTCCTAGCAGCGCGCTAACCGCTACACTACCGCTGGACATACACACATATATACAAAGCAAACTAACATACACACAAAACACACATAGAAACGCAGACGACAAAGATAAACATTCCCCGTAAGTCGTATAGACCGTTGGGGCAAGTGCCGGCAGATACACATACATATAACGGTTGACCGGAGTTCTTCTATTCCTGACCAGGGCTCACGTCAGCTGTGAGTGATAATTTAACCAGTCTTGGGCGGTTATGATCGGGTTTCTTCTACGCAGATCCCTTTATCAGCTCGCAGTGACCCATCGTGGAGATGTCCGGTCATATAACCACCATAATCGACACATCGTGGGAGAGAGGTTTATCCAGCAGTGGATCGATAAAGGCATGCCAATGATTGTTCTTGTAAACGTGCATCATTTGGGCCACAAAGTTGGCCCAAAGTTTTCACAATTATAGAAATTATTGGTTTTCCGAGATAATTTTCAACATTTTTAGCTTTTTTCTAGTAATTGAAATATATTTTTTTATGCTATTTTAAATACAATATCGTATGAGAAATTATGAATAAAAAGAAAGTCGTATTCACCACGAACAGAACGTCAAATACCGAAAGTAACATTTCGGCCCATCGTTTTCCAGCAGTAATTTATTTAAACAAGCAAACTATGGAACAATTTCAACATTCTCCGATTCTCATCATCAGGATGTGGTCTGTTAAACAAATACTGTTGGGTTGCCTGATGTAAGAGGTAAGAAGAACCCTGCAACAACGTTCGCATAGTGCATATATTTACGTCCGATAATAATCGCTACCCGTTTAGCATTAGGTTCACTCGGCCTCAAATGAGTATCCGGTGAAAAGTATGAAAAATAAGAATAGGTTTTAATTTCTTGCAATAAAACAGACGTTTAGACGTTCAAACACCAAATAGATACCTTTTGCAAGGCATCACATCTGCATGAAGCACGCATGCTTGTGGAAAAACACGCAAACAAACGTGCTCTGGTAATCGATTGCCTTCGAAACTGATTGGCCTACACTACAGACAGCCTTCTTTATGGCATTCTATTATCAGTGTCAGACCAGAGAACGCCAAAATGTGAACTGTGGCGTAAATAGCAACTGCGGTCGGGTGCGGTGCTGGTCACAAACTCCCTCCC